TACTGCGCTCTCTGCGGCCCCGATGCGTTGCCAGCCGTCCCAGCCAGTGGATCTGCGGACCCGAGCCTCAGCTGGACTACAGCGCTCTCTGCAGCCCTAACGTGTTACCAGCCGTCCCAGCCAGTGGACCTGCGGACCCGACCCTCAGCTGGACTACAGCGCTCTCTGCAGCCCTGACGTGTTACCAGCCGTCCCAGCCAGTGGATCTGCGGGCCCGAGCCTCAGCTGGATTACAGCGCTCTCTGCAGCCCTGACGTGTTACCAGCCGTCCCAGCCAGTGGATTTGCGGACCCAAGTCTCAGCTGGACTACAGCGCCCTCTGCGGCCCCGATGCGTTACCAGCCGTCCCAGCCAGTGGATCCGCGGACCCAAGTCTCAGCTGGACTACAGCGCCCCCTGCGGCCCCGATGCGTTACCAGCCGTCCCAGCCAGTGGATCTGCGGACCCGACCCTCAGCTGGACTGCAGCGCTCTCTGCAGCCCTGACGTGTTACCAGCCGTCCCAGCCAGTGGATCTGTGGACCCGACCCTCAGCTGGACTACAGCGCTCTCTGCAGCCCTGACGTGTTACCAGCCGTCCCAGCCAGTGGATCTGCGGACCCAAGTCTCAGCTGGACTACAGCGCCCTCTGCGGCCCCGATGCGTTACCAGCCGTCCCAGCCAGTGGATCTGCGGACCCGACCCTCAGCTGGACAACAGCGCTCTCTGCAGCCCTGACGTGTTACCAGCCGTCCCAGCCAGTCTGCGGACCTGCGGACCTGCGGACCCAAGTCTCAGCTGGACTACAGCGCCCTCTGCGGCCCCGATGCGTTACCAGCCGTCCCAGCCAGTGGATCTGCGGACCCGACCCTCAGCTGGACTACAGCGCTCTCTGCAGCCCTGACGTGTTACCAGCCGTCCCAGCCAGTGGATCTGTGGACCCGAGCCTCAGCTGGACTACAACGCTCTCTGCAGCCCTGACGTGTTACCAGCCGTCCCAGCCAGTGGATCTGCGGACCCGAGCCTCAGCTGGACTACAACGCCCTCTGCGGCCCCGATGCGTTACCAGCCGTCCCAGCCAGTGGATCTGCGGACCCAAGCCTCAGCTGGACTACAGCGCCCTCTGCAGCCCTGACGTGTTACCAGCCGTCCCAGCCAGTGGATCTGCGGACCCAAGCCTCAGCTGGACTACAGCGCTCTCTGCGGCCCCGATGCGTTACCAGCCGTCCCAGCCAGTGGATCCGCGGACCCAAGCCTCAGCTGGACTACAGCGCTCTCTGCAGCCCTGACGTGTTACCAGCCGTCCCAGCCAGTGGATCTGTGGACCCGAGCCTCAGCTGGACTACAACGCTCTCTGCGGCCCCGATGCGTTACCAGCCGTCCCAGCCAGTGGATCCGCGGACCCAAGCCTCAGCTGGACTACAGCGCTCCCTGCAGCCCTGACGTGTTACCAGCCGTCCCAGCCAGTGGATCTGCGGACCCGAGCCTCAGCTGGACTACAGCGCTCTCTGCAGCCCTGACGTGTTACCAGCCGTCCCAGCCAGTGGATCTGCGGACCCGACCCTCAGCTGGATTACAGCGCTCTCTGCAGCCCTGACGTGTTACCAGCCGTCCCAGCCAGTGGATCTGCGGACCCGACCCTCAGCTGGACTACAGCGCTCTCTGCAGCCCTGGCGTGTTACCAGCCGTCACAGCCAGTGGATCTGCGGACCCGAGCGGCGTCTGGACGCCGGCGGACGGCGTCTAATCTAAGAGGTGGCGGCAGATGACGCGGACCACTACGCGGCTCGCATGCGGAGGATCCAGACCAATGAACGCGCGCGGACACACAGTCGCAGTGTGCGCGGACACGCGATGCGTGCGCTTGCGAGCGATTCAGCGGGAGTACTGGGTGTTCGTGCATCCCCTGAGATCTGGGGTGCACTCGCGGTCTCATGACGTACGATCCATGTACTTAGGGTGAAGGGGTTTCACGACGATTGGATGAAACCCTTTTTTGTGTTGCTATGAGCAACAATCGGAATGAAAACGATTTTAAGTCCGCACTTGACTCATGCAAAGTGTGTTTGTTACCAGTCTCAAACCGTACGTCATATATCGCGCTTGCGTTTTGAGGAATTACGTAAGTTTTTATGTTAACAGAGATTACCTTTCCACCCCAAAACATTTCGAAATATCCTTGCCCAGACGATATTGGGGCGATTGGATCTTGAGGGGAATGTTGCACATTTGCAGATACTGAAGCAACCTTCAGATATGATGAAGTGAACCCACTTTTAACTTTTCGTTTACTTATAAGTGGAAAAGGCTGCTCTAGACAACACAATTTCTCTGTGAGGCAGATACGCTCGCCAATATGGCATTGTTTGATCACGTCCTCGTACCTCACATATTATTGATGGAGGGCCAATTGACGGCCGTTATATCTGAAAGTCGTGCTCACGAACGCGGGATGTGAACCGGTAAACAATTACATTTTGTTTGGCCTTGGCAGGATTTGGCAACGGAATGGCAGGACTTGAATAATGTTATTTATGACGTCACGAATGTCTGGGTTTTAGCTTGAAAGTTTCCCAGAAGCAGTCAGCATAAGCTCTCGGGCGTGTAGCTCAGAAACTATAGGTAGCTCAGCGTGCAACTCAGCCCGCACTTTGGAAATACGATCGCTATTTTAAAACCAACTTTCCAGGGCAAATTTTTCAGTCACCTCTAAAAATCGGCAGTATTGAATATGGTTGTACGAAAGTAAAAAGCTATGGGTAGGATAAGCCCGTATGTGCTTAAATGGAATGGCTAACGGCTTGGGTTTGTAATTATTTTGAAAAGTTCTTGTGCATGAACACGAACATGGGAAGGACTTGCACGGAATGTTAGGCAGATACCTCAACTGTATAGGCTTTTCAAAGTTATTACTTATCATTTCGATACAACCTCATCATCATTAGCTCCATGCACGTTACTTATGTGATTAGTACCTAATGCAAAATAAGCGTGGGTGCAAGCTTAATACAAGTTTCATTCATTTTTAACAATTAGTCTGAGCCAGTGGCGTCAGTTTACATACTTTGCGGGGTCTGAGCCCCCGGTGCTGACTGGATACCCCACCATGCTTCTCTCAGCCCCGCCCCCCCCCCCCCCAATGCACATGAGCGGAGGAAATTTTGGTCCAAATAGATGCCGAACAATTATTATTACTATTGGTATGCTAGATAGCAGGTACCTAAACACATCAGCTTTAGCATCATGTTAATTTTATACCAGATAGCATCTTAAAGGCCCGTGATGTTCCTGTCATGCTACCTCCTTCATTTGTTAGAGAGTTCCACATTTCTATGGGGCTTTGAACTGAAATAGCCCTCCAGAAGATCATTCGGTGCAGTTCATAGCCCTTCCCTTCTTAAAACAGCCATTTGTTTCGTGATTTCATGTTTGATTGCCTCTTGGTCTGCTGGTCTCTCATGGTTTGCATGGTCTCTAGTTACATGGTCTTATGATCCGGACAACAGGTGTTAAGAAAAATAGTTGAGACCGATTTAGTACCTTCTAGGTCAATTATGGGTGACCTCCTTGACCTCCTTGATCTGAATTTTGTTAATCCACGTAGGCTGCTTTCCTGTTTTGGGTTTACTTTTCACCTATCAAAACACATTTGAGTTCAGTAAGCCTGTTCTAAACCCGGTATCGCGATGTACGATTACGCCCTCGGGGTTCAGACACAGGCTTGGGTCCCCGCTAGCCATATTGGGAACCTGCCCGAGGCTGGGGGGAGCGAAAAGCCGATGCGGGTAATATTTCGACTTAATTTTTTAAGTTTTTACACCACCAACGTACAAGGTTCGACAACTTTGTACAAGAGCTAAGAGGGCAGCCGCCCGCCACCCGTAAACGCGTCATTGGCTCTGGAGTTGGACAGACCGCGGGTTGTGTCGCAGCGCGCCTCTCGGGCCTTCAAGTTGTCGGCCAAAGGGCGCGGCGCGGCGCCTCCTGCGCGCGCCGTTTGCAGCCCCGTGACCCACTTGGCCGGGCAGCCGGGCGGCTCCAACGCTAGCGGAACGCGGTTCATATGTACAGCACATGACACTTCCCGCCGCTGGCCGCCCGCTGGAACGCGGTTCATATGTACAGCACATGACAATTCTTGCCGCTGGCCGCCCGCTGGAACGGCATGAGGCGAACCCGGACGGTGCAGCGACAACAGCGACGGCGTGGGGGGCGGCGCCTTGGCAGCGTGCTCACCTGCCCCGTTGCCATACCGGGGAAACCCACAACCTCTCACACCACACCGCCAAGCCGCCCAGCGTGATCGTACACGGGCTCTGTATCGGCGCATTCTGCCGCTGATGTCTTGTCGTGTGGCGAGCTCTGTTCGCAGCCTACGGCAGGTGCGTGTTAGCGGTTGGGACGGTGAGATCTCTCTCGCCTGCACGACTCGGCGTCTGCAGCTACTGAGCGAGCTGTGTAACTGTGTCGATCCGCGCCGGGAGCCGGAACGATCCGCGCCGCCGGGCGCCGGAGATGTGCGAGGGACGGACAGCGCCGCCATCCGACACTCGCTCACTCTCTCACTGCCGGCGCCGCCATCCAACGCTCGCTCGCTCTCCCGCTGCCGGCGCCGCCATCCAACGCCCGCTCGCTCTCTCGGTGCCGGCGCCACCATCCAACGCTCGCTCGCCCTCTCGCTGCCAGCGTCACCATCCAACGCTCGCTCGCCCTCTCGCTGCCAGCGTCACCATCCAACGCTCGCTCGCTCTCTCGCTGCCGGCGCCACCTCGGCCGTCAGGAGACGCCTGAGCGGACCCGCAGGTGTCGCGCGGCGCGACGCTGGCCCTACAACAGACCACACGCACGATATCTTGCCGCCTTTTATTGTGTCGTGTAAAACAGTAACAAAACTATTACGTCATACACATCCCACTGTAACGGCCCCGGCTGGGTGGGATGCTCGAAGCCGGACTGGAGCCAAAATGGCGCATGTGACGGTGTTTGTTGATGAAATTACGGAACATAATTACACTCCTATGTAGGATTGCATGGCTAAAAACATAAGAACTATGACGATGCATTACAGCTTATCACCATTCAATAGATCACCGATTCACCCCAGGCCAGCCTCCTTGGCCCTAGCCGGCCCCTTTGGCTCGGCCCCTATCCCCAGGGAAATCATCGGCATCGTCAACTGCGTTACACCTAAGGCACGAAAACAAACAGCGTCCCTACACCAGCACGCCGTATTAAAACAACAGCACAGGACGTCATTGGTGATTTTAAACGCTTCAAAATGATGGGTGCGAATGGAAAGATACGCAAGTTCCAAAACGAAAAGAAGACGAAGCCACAAAAACACCCACACAAGGTTTCGATGGAGACAGAGGCGCGCACCGAAGACTAATCGGTGGGCTTACCTCAGGCAGCAGAAATAACAACAATGACGAAATCATGCGGATTCACATTTCGCGAACACAACCCTGAACCCCGAATTGTTCGATAGGCTATTCAGCACAACGCAGGAGCACGAGTAGATATTTAGCGGAGCGACTGTATATCATGTCCCCAGACTGCCAAGACTGCATTCCTTCTCTGAGGTAACCGCGGAATCAACAGCAATCACAAACCACTCGTAGCAGAGGATCAGGATCCACGAATTCCGCAAACCTCGTGCACGGCACGCTCGTCAGTCAACAACCAAGGCTCACTTCACCGACGGCCAATAGCAAACAGCGGGGGTCATATTGTTTCAGTTGTGCTCCTTCGGTGCGTCGTGTGTGTGTGCGTGTTGGACCACCAGTACCTCGCTTATTGCTGACGTCACGTGGGATTGAGACGAGCGCAGCCGACACAGGCGGATCTCCACGCTCGCAATATGCCCGGAGGCGTCCGGCGCCAACGGCAGCGGCGGCAACGGTATACACGGCTTGTGAAACGGCCCGATAGACGGGAGTCGGTGTTCTAGCCAGACGTTGACACCCGCCGTTCACAAAAATAACTACAAAAATACCGTTTTCCAAACGGGTCTGGGCCGGATGGTGGCTTGCTGGGCACGGCCGACGGCGGTGGCGAGCCGGAGGCCGGCGGCGGCGGTGCTGCGCTGGCGGGCGTGCCGCGCTCACCCGTCCGCCGCGCCGCTGCTGGACCGCTCGGTGTAGAACGTCACCTGAGTCTCTGCGCGCGGCGAGGCGGCCTCCGAGCGGCCAAGCGAGAACATCGAGAGCGAGGCGAGCGGCGCCGGCCGGCGCATCATCTTGCCGGACGTGATGAGCCGGCCGAAGCCCTCCTGGTGGGCGAAGGCGTAGCCGGAGCGGACCGAGCGGCCGCGGCGGCGCGCCGACGGCGTGCGCTGGATGTCGTCCAGCCGCCGCTTCTGCGCCTTGTCTTCGCGCTGTTTGCGGCGCACCAGGTCGGACAACGTCGGGTGGAGGTCGACAAAGTAGAAGCGCCATGCCAGCACGGGCACGGTCAGCACGATGACAGTCAGCACGGCGGTGAACCAGAAGTTGGCCTCCTTCATCGCCATGCACAGCGAGCCGACATACGGCCCGCCCATACCGTAGTTGTAGACGAAGTGCAGCACGACGTAGGCCAGCAGCGAGCCCCAGACGCACACGTGGTTCCACGCCGTCCAGTAAGCCGTGTCCAAGCAGATCTGGAACGTCGGGCACGCGTGATGCCGGACACCCACGCCTGGTGGGGGAACAGGCTGACACGCGCCAGGAGGGACACAGCCATACGCCCCGGGAGGGACACGGACACACGGCAGGGAACAGCTGACGGTGCGCGGCCCACGAAAAGGGCGGAAACGCAGCGCGGGTGCTTCACGCCTGAAGCTAGGCAGGTTGACCGGAAAGGAGATGGAGAGTGGAGGTGCAGTTCGACCGGCGCGCTTTCTCCCAAGCAACGGCCGGCCTGTGGGTACGCATGGCAGAGGAGATTTGCGCTCACCTAGTTCAACACGACATCAACAGTTTTTGCCGGCATCGCCTCTTCTAACTCAGGCTCACAGTCGCTCTTCTGTTCACACAGGTCATCCGGCTTAAAGGTCCAGTGCCACCAATATGAACGCCCTTGTGTCAGTTCAAATGCAGATCTGCAATGCCACACTTCATCCGGCGCACACTGCATGGCAAATTAGCAGTTGCAACCACCAAGCTAAAAACCGGGGCTGCAAACAACAACAAAAGCTTTTGAGCTATGTTGGACGATGGCAAGCAGAGGGATATATGGGGCTAGAGTCTCTATTGACCGATGCACACCTGACATCCCACAACAACCCACCTGCGTCGTGACCACCACCACGAGAATGGTGGCCACCACTGCTCCGAACAACTGGTGGTCGGAGATGACGTAGCCGTTGGGCGAGAGGGCGTCGCGGTAAGTGCCTGAGAGACGGAACAGCCGGGTCAGCAAGGGCGAGAGGGACCGCCCGGCCTCGCTGTCGACCCTGCCTATACCGGGTCCTCCCTCCCCTCCCCGGCCCGCCCCACCAGACAGGCGACGCCACCGTCTCTGCCCCTCCCCCCTGCCCCACTTTGCTTTGTTCGTAGGCCGCCCGTTGAAGCCGATTCCGTCCGCCCCCGTCTCCCCTCCCCCAGTCCCACTGAGTGGATGTCGAGGCCTCGGCGACCGGATCCCCAACCTTCACCGCACGGGGGTCCTCCTCCCTCACCGCACGGGGGTCCTCCTCCCTCACCGCACGGGGTCCTCCTCTCTCACCGTACGGATGTCCTCCTCCCTCAACGTACGGAGGTCCTCCTCCCTCACCGCACGGGGGTCCTCCTACCTCACCGCACGGGGTCCTCCTCCCTCACCGCACGGGGGTCCTCCTCCCTCACCGCACGGGGGGCCTCCTCCTTCACCGTACGGAGGTCCTCCCCCCTCACCGTACGGAGGTCCTCCCCGCTCACCGCACGGGGTCCTCCTCCCTCACCGCACGGGGGTCCTCCCCCCTCACCGTACGGAGGTCCTCCTCCCTCACCGCACGGGGGTCCTCCTCCCACACCGAACAACAGGTCCTCCTCCCTCACCGTACGGCACGACGAACAGCACCAGGGATGTGAAGAACCCATACAGGGCCGCCTTGAAGAACTCGGCCTTGTTGAAAAACGCGTTGAGCAGGCCGGGCGTGTACAGCTTGGGATAAGTCAGGCTGTGTCGATCCTTGACATCTTGGTCAAACACGGCAAGTGCGAGGACCGGCATAGACGTGTAGAAAAGATTGTAGACGGCAATAAACATAGGGTCGAAGATGGTCTGAAAAGAACGAAAACCAATCTCGGTGGGGGGCGTGGAGCAGACAGGCCGTGCACGTGGACCAGTGCACAAAGCACACCACGAGACGACAATCGAACCGCCCGCGCACGCGCAGACAACCACGAGCCAGAGAACACCACACACACACACTCACACACGCGCGCACGCACGCACGCACGCACGCACGCACGCACGCACATACGCGGGAGTGGCATGCCGCGCCGGCAGCTGCTGCTCCAGGTCGGCCCACAAGACGACAACGAGCAGTGGCTCCGTCTCGGCAGTGCCTCGGGTGGCAGACGGCAGGCGGCACGCAGGCCGGTGCGGTGCGCGTGCGCCGTGACCGGCCCCGGCCCCGCCACTCACCGTACGGCACCAGGAAGAGCAACAGCGAGGTTACCACACCGTGGATCAGGCTGCCCACAAAGATGCGCTTGTTGAAGAGCAGAGAGCGCATTCCGGGCGCGTACAGTTTGGGATGGTACAGACTGCTGGCGGCGCTAACGTCCTGGTCGAACACGCCCAGCGCCAGCACCGGCATCGAGGTGTAAAACATATTGTAGGTGGATATAAAGAAAACGTCGTACACCGTCTGAAAGGGACGGCAGACAGGCGAGCGCCGTTAGCCGTCGGCGGCCCGCCGACCGGCAGCATGCCTGGAGACGGGACCGGGGTCACGGCTGGGGTCACAGCTGGAGCTCCAATCAGGGCAGGGGTCAGGGCTGGAGTCAACACAGAGGCCAGCGCTGGAGTCCTGATCGCAACAGGGCTGGGGTCCAGGCAGAATTCAGGACCTGAGTCCGGGAAGAGTTCGGGTTGGAGTCCGGGCCGGGACAGGACTGGAGTCCGGGCAGAGTTCACGGCTGGAATTCGGGCCGGGACAGGGCTGAAGCCAGGGCTGGGGTCAGGACCGGAGTCCGGGCACGGGCTGAGCTGGAGTTAGGGCAGGGGTCAGCAGTGGAGTTAGCGTCAGGGTCAGGGGCAGATCCAACTCATCAGTTGTGGACCGCCACCACCACGCGCCACCCAGAGCACTAGCACACATCTGCGGACAACACGGCCTGCACTGGGAATCCAGGCAACGAACAATGAAACGTTGGCGCATAGCATGAAAGCAGTATAGCGCATATGCCATTATATGCAGTAGATAGTAGGTCAACATTTTATTGCAAGCAAATCTGCATTCTATTCAAATCAGAAAGGCACACGCCGGGCTGGCTAGAACGGGAAATATTTACAGGGCATCGTAAGTGTCTTTGCATAAGAAGCCATACATAAAGCGCTCGGGCAGGCAGCGAGGCACGCGTTTGAAAATCAATCAACATGTTTTTTTCACACGTCATCCTGCAAACTAACGGTTTGGCTGAGCCTGTTGCCCATCTTAGATAGTCTTGATCTTGATGTACGATTTGCATGCATATTTACACCCAATATAATAACACTGCATCCGAAACAAAGCGTTGTCACCAAGATTACCATTGGCATTGATGCACACACGCGCCCGCCCGCCCGCCCGCACGCACGCACGCACGCACGGACGCACGGACGCACGGACGCACACACACACACACACACACACACACACACACACACACACACACACACACACACACACACACACACACACACACACACACACACACACACACACACACACACATACACACACACACACACACACACACACACACACGCGCGCGCGCGCGCGCACGCACGCACGCACGCACGCACGCACGCACGCACGCACGCACGCACGCACGCACGCACGCACGCACGCACGCACACACACACACAAAGTCGGTTGGTCGCACCGACAGGACAGCACTCTACGAGCCCATCACGTGCGCAGCAGCACGCCGAACGAGAGCATATGATCGGTGACGTCAACCCCCCTGGCCCCTTAAAACGCGGCCTGCAGGCGAGGCGCGGGCATCGGACATCGCCCTCTGCGTCTTCACCCGCTGGCGGCCGTCCTTCAGTCGTCCGCCCGCTGGCGATCGGGGCTGGAGTCACCTCCGTAGTCCTGCCCTGGTGCACGGCTGCGTCTCTCGGGAGGGCGGCGGCACACGCCCGCCCCACCACCTCCACCCCGGGGCGGAGCTCACCTGCGCGCTGAAGCCGCAGAAAAACGAGTACCAGAAGTGGCAGAGCGTGAAGGCGAAGTTCTTGTAGAAGAAGTAGCGCAAGAACTTGCACATGCGGTAGTAGGACCAGCGGCCGTGCACGAGCAGCAGCCGCTCCAGGTAGCGGAACTGGGCGATGCTGTAGTCGGAGGAGAGGACGGCCTGCAGGCCCTCCTGGCCCGAGATGCCCACGCCGATGTGCGCCGCTGCCGTCATCAACCGGGGTCAGCAGGTGGCTCTCGCCGGCCGGCCGGCGGGGGTCACGCCCAGGCTAGGGGCCACTCGTCACGGCAAGAACAGTACCGTGACGCGGACACTGACCAGGGGTGGCGAACCAGGCCACGGTACCATGACACGGACACTGACCAGGGGTGGCGAACCAGGCCACGGGATCATGACACGGACACTGACCAGGGGTGGCGAACCAGGCCACGGTACCATGACACGGACACTGACCAGGGGTGGCGAACCAGGCCACGGTACCATGACACGGACACTGACCAGGGGTGGCGAACCAGGCCACGGTACCATGACACGGACACTGACCAGGGGTGGCGAACCAGGCCACGGAACCATGACACGGACACTGACCAGGGGTGGCGAACCAGGCCACAGTACCATGACGCGGACACTGGCAAGGGGTGGCGAACCAGGCCACGGTACCATGACACGGACACTGGCAAGGGGTGGCGAACCAGGCCACGGTATCATGACACGGACACTGACCAGGGGTGGCGAACCAGGCCACAGTACCATGACGCGGACACTGGCAAGGGGTGGCGAACCAGGCCACGGTACCATGACGCGGACACTGACCAGGGGTGGCGAACCAGGCCACGGTACCATGACACGGACACTGACCAGGGGTGGCGAACCAGGCCACGGTACCATGACACGGACACTGACCAGGGGTGGCGAACCAGGCCACAGTACCATGACGCGGACACTGGCAAGGGGTGGCGAACCAGGCCACGGTACCATGATACGGACACCGACCAGGGGTGGCGAACCAGGCCACGGTATCATGACGCGGACACCGACCAGGGGTGGCGAACCAGGCCACGGTACCATGACACGGACACCGACCAGGGGTGGCGAACCAGGCCACGGTACCATGACACGGACACTGACCAGGGGTGGCGAACCAGGCCACGGTATCATGACACGGACACTGGCAAGGGGTGGCGAACCAGGCCACGGTACCATGACACGGACACTGACCAGGGGTGGCGAACCAGGCCACGGTACCACGACACGGACACCGACAAGGGGTGGCGAACCAGGCCACGGTACCATGACACGGACACTGGCAAGGGGTGGCGGACCAGGCCACGGTACCATGACGCGGACACTGACCAGGGGTGGCGAACCAGGCCACGGTACCATGACACGGACACTGACCAGGGGTGGCGACCCAGGCCACGGTACCACGACACGGACACCGACAAGGGGTGGCGAACCAGGCCACGGTACCATGACACGGACACTGGCAAGGGGTGGCGAACCAGGCCACGGTACCACGACACGGACACCGACAAGGGGTGGCGAACCAGGCCACGGTACCACGACACGGACACCGACAAGGGGTGGCGAACCAGGCCACGGTACCATGACACGGACACTGGCAAGGGGTGGCGAACCAGGCCACGGTACCATGACGCGGACACTGACCAGGGGTGGCGAACCAGGCCACGGTACCATGACACGGACACTGACCAGGGGTGGCGAACCAGGCCACGGTACCATGACACGGACACTGACCAGGGGTGGCGACCCAGGCCACGGTACCATGACACGGACACTGACCAGGGGTGGCGAACCAGGCCACGGTACCATGACACGGACACTGACCAGGGGTGGCGACCCAGGCCACGGTATCATGACACGGACACTGGCTAGAGGTGGCGAACCAGGCCACGGTACCATGACACGGACACTGACCAGGGGTGGCGAACCAGGCCACGGTACCATGACACGGACACTGGCTAGAGGTGGCGAACCAGGCCACGGTACCATGACACGGACACTGGCAAGGGGTGGCGAACCAGGCCACGGTACCATGACGCGGACACTGACCAGGGGTGGCGAACCAGGCCACGGTACCATGACACGGACACTGGCAAGGGGTGGCGAACCAGGCCACGGTACCATGACACGGACACTGGCAAGGGGTGGCGAACCAGGCCACGGTACCATGACACGGACACTGGCAAGGGGTGGCGAACCAGGCCACGGTACCATGACACGGACACTGGCCAGGGGTGGCGAACCAGGCCACGGGATCATGATACGGACACTGACCAGGGGTGGCGAACCAGGCCACGGTACCATGACACGGACACTGGCCAGAGGTGGCGAACCAGGCCAACCAGCGAACGGCTAGCTGATAAATCGTGAGTAACAATCGCTTCACAGGAAACTGGGCAAAACAGAACAGAAAATAACACGAATGTTTGCGAAATCGCGCCATGCGCAATTTCGTCTCGTTTGTCAAAACAGATAAAATGTCAGAGGACAAATATCGTTGCGGCCGAGGCCGCATACAGCTACCACAGCAGACCCCAGGTGGACTGTTGCCCTCGGCTAATGAAGGCCCCCTGGCCGTGAACGGAGCCGCCACGTCTGCGCCCGCTCCCGCAGCCCGACTCACTTTTGATCATGGACACGTCATTGGCGCCGTCACCGATGCTCAGCGTCACGGCCTTCTTGTACTTCTTCACCAGCTCGACCACGAGCGCCTTTTGCAGCGGTGTGACGCGACAGCAGATGACCGCCTTGCACTGGCAGGCCACCTCTAGGAACTGGCGCTCCAGCTTGCTGGTCAGCGCCCAGATCAGCGAGTGGCCGTTGATGACGAGCGCGTAGCCGCCGCGCCGCTCCGACTCCTCGACGGGCGTGTCGTGGCCGTACCCCTCGTCACTGCCGGCGGCAGAGGGGGCGTCACCGGCAGTGACAGGCGGAGCGGCGCCGCCGTCCCCCGGCCGCTGACGGCTGCGCCACTCACACGCGATGGGGCCTCGCGGCTCGCCACTGCAGGACAACTGCGGAGCCACACCGATAAATCTGCCGCAAAAGCGACGCTTATGGCAGCGAGCATTCGGCGGCGGCGAGTGCCGCCGGTGTTATACGGCATCTATTTGTCGGGTAACTCGTCGCTTTCACCAGCGAGGTATTCGATACACAAACAAGTACCTGCAATAACAAATATTCATTGTAAAAATATTGCAATAGCAAAGAGCAAATTCAACACGCCATCTAAGAACCAAAACTACAGCACTGCAAGTTTGAAGTATTATCTTAACATTTCGTTTAGCGCACGATCATTGCATCACACACACCCGCGCGCGCGCACACACACACACACACACAGAGCATTGGACAAAAGCGCACTCCAATGTCTGCACAGGCGCGGTAGCCGGCTGGCGGTCGACCACTTCAGCTCCAGACGCCATGCAGAGGGCGCATGTTCGCTCCGGCCCGGCAGCGGCCGACCGCGCCAGGCTGGGGGCCATCCACGACCCGTTCGGTCGGCCCACCCCTACGCACGCGGACGCCTGCACGGGCAGCACGCGGCAGCGGCGGCCCAGCGGCCGGGAGCGGCACCCGGGGCGCGGACCCGGCGTACCGCCAGTGCAGTGTGGAGGCGGACGACAGAGCGAGCGTACACCAGTGAGGCACGAGCCGCAGCCGGCGGCGCTCGTGGGTGCCATGCGATGGCAGAGGCCGGTGACAGGCGGGTGCTGCGTGCCCGGCTCATGCAAGCCGGCCACAGTCCTCAGCTGTCCAACCCCACCGGTGGACAAGGCTTGTGCGCGCCCGGCCGTGCTAACTAAGTCCGTGCCCGCACCGCAGCCCACTCTCAGCTGGTCATACTTCAGATATACGCAGTTTATCCCTAGCAAGTGTGCAAAGACGTTGCTATAAAGCGGAACATGTTTACAAAATATTACTTCCAGCCAGTACCAGATTAATATCACTCGGGGGCCAAAACTCGGCTATCTTTTTCGAAGCAGGGCATGTGCATTAGAAACTCACGAACGCCTGAGTGTTCTGCAAGACAAACCAATGCCTGCATATCGTGACGCATGATGAGACTTCTTTGGTATGCCTATAACAATATCCATGACACAACGAATGCCACGAAATGTAATGGTATGTGATGTAAAGTAATGGAACTTAAAAACATCAATACCTAGACGGCACAAACTAAAAACTTTTATGGTCATGATTTAACAGCGAGTTCCCTTCAGTTCACCAACACAATTATTTCAAACCTACATCTTTTAGCAGCCGATTTCACCATTTTGTTGGATGACATGCTGCCTGAATAGTCTCAATTTTCCCTGCCAACTTTTTGCCAACTCTGATAATATCAGGTGATTTGTTTTTATTTCCTCTCAGTTCAATCCATGGGTTGTTTTGCGCCATGAATGTGCCTCCTCCCGGATCCGCACGAATTATTGGCAAGCTGCAGGCTGCGCATGACCAGAGTCGGAAGCGCGGAGCAGGCCACGGCAGACCGCGGCCGCCCTCGACGGACGCCACGGCACAGTCGGCGCTCGCGACCGCAAGCGGGGCGTGGCGGCCAGCGCTGGTGGCGCCGCGGTGCGGTGGCGTGGCCAACTACTCACGTGTGGACCGTGCCGCCTCTGCGGGACGTGACGTACAAGTACGTGCGGCTAGCCCAGCCCACCATGGAACAGACGGAGATCAGAGCTGGCCGACAAGCGGCCGCGGCGGTGGGGCATGCCTAGCGACGGTGCTCGCCCCCCCCCCCCTCCCTACCGCACACGGACACACAGGGTGACGACTATCGACGAGCACCATGCTGGGCCATGGAGGGTGCCGCGCGCTGGTCTAGTGACGGTGACACTGGGACGGCACGTGCAGGCGGTGGTAACGGGATCCACGCCAGTTTTGCCCATGCGGGGCCCCAGACAATCGGAGGAGTTCAGCTGCTATATCATCGAGGTCCATGTTTCAATTTGCCACCTCACAAATAGCACCGTGGCATCAAGTGGCACGACACGAACACGCCAGTTGGCGGGGGGGGGAGGGGGGGGGGGGGGTACATCGGTCCAACACGACCCCACAGGTATCTTAGAAGCTGTACGTTTGATATCCCCCATCATCAGCATAAACACGTAGTCAGAATAGCAGTGCACGATGCGTTTCGCTTTTGCATAATGTCCGGCAAAATACTCATGCGACTATCATCGCCAATTTAGGAGAAGCTGAGAAAAGATGAGCAAAATACAGTTATCACTCATTATCATCTATAATGTTCGGCAACCGACCCAAAATCGTAAGTTTCTTCGCCCGCAGGAGGCGTGCACTGTCGATCCTCGTGAGCAGGCATCCCTAAAAAAGGCCCCAGAGCCCCGCGACGGAAGTTGGCTACAGCATCGCGACACGATACACTGCGTCCTCATCGCTGCTCAATCTCTGCGAAGCTACATTTGAAAAGACACATCTTCGCCGAGGGCCTCCATAAACAGGACGTTGCCTACACTCAGCTGACGTTCTGACAGTTCCATATCCGCACTAGCTGCCACACGTCGATGTTTCAGAGAAGGCAACCCGACCCAAATCGCAGCATGGCAGCGACCACGACGTCAACGACCAATTCACGTGGATTGCGCGGCGCCGGCGCGCGCCGCTTGCACCCCCTGCTTGGTCAGCAGACAGCTGACCACTGAGGCCGCCTCGACGACGCCGATGGCGGCGGCGGTGGCGCGCTGCCTACCTGAACGTGACCACCGAGAGCGACTGCTTGTGGGCCGGCTTGGCGTCGGCGGCCGGCCGGTTCAGCTCGTCCAGACAGCTGTTCAGCTCCGTCTCCACCTCCTGCATGCTATGGCCTTCCACCACGAACACGTCCTGCAGGTCGTCCGTCAGCAGCTGGCACGAATAGCCGATGTTGATGGCCGTCTCTGGCGGGGCAGACAGCGCGCGGTCAGACCGACTGGACGAGGCGGGACGAGGGGCGCGGCCAGGGAGAACGAGGCGGGACGAGGGGCAGGATTAGACCGACTGGACGAGGCGGGACGAGGGATACGGTCAGACAAGACGAGCCAAGACGAGGGGTGTGTTCAGTGCCTGCGAGCTGGGGCGGTGCACAAAGTTCAGGAGGCCGCACGGATGGTGCAGCAGAAGACAGCAGCATCCGTGGCGGCTTAATTTCAAGGTACACCACCAGATGGCAGGCGAAAGGGTCACGGCTCCGGCGCGCGGCATCACTTTTACACACGTTTACTCGATAAAACATGAGCATCATGTCCTACACAAGCTGGATTGGAATGCTTTTGTCCCCTTACCAAACGGCTGACAATTGATGACAGCCTCCACGCCACGAGCAACAAAGTAGCAGCAGCGTTAAACATTTTCAGTGTGACGTGGCCCAGCCTCAGATAATACTACTTTAATACACTAAATGGTGCTTGTGCACAGAAATTTGCTGACCAGTATTTGCATGGTGAGCATGCTGCATTTAAAATCCAGTCCGGCGTCCGAGCCAGATGTACAATGGTTGAAATTATTCATTCGAACTCACTACTATGGAATTTCGCATTACTTAAAATTATTTGTAATGTGCACTTCATAGGCGTTCTCAACACGGACACAACATTAAAAGAGCGTATTAAATCTGAGCACACATCAGTATCTTCCGGATTTTGCTCTGCCTGTAGCACCACCTCACCACCGAACGGCCCCTCGCCCTCCCGTTGTGTCAGCCTTCAGATGGCCGGTAGTTGGGTGACGCGGATCGGCCGGGCTGTTACCCTGTTTGTCGCCGGTGAGCACCCAGAGGCGGAGGCCGGCCAGCATCAAGTTGGCGATGGTGTGAGGCACCCCGTCCTGCAACTTGTCCTCGATGGCAGTGGCGCCTGCGGCAGGCCGACGCGCGGTCAGCCGTCCATCGTGCACATCACACAGATCACACAGGTCATTCAATCGTACAGATGGCACAGATTATACACATCGCACAGATCACACAGATCATAAAGATGATTCAATCATACAGGTGACACAGATAATACAGTTCGCACAGATCTTACAGATCACACGGGTCATACAGATCACACATATGATACATATCACACAATCATGCGGATCACACAGGTCATAAATATCACACAGATTACACGATCACACAGATCGTACAGATCACACAATCACACAGATGACAGAGATCCTATAGATCTTGCAGATAACACAGATCGCACGATCATACAGACCACACAGATAGTACAGACCACAAAAATCATGCAAATCACTCAGATAAAAAGTCGCACAGATCACACAGACCATACGAATGACACAGGCCTCGGCTGAGCTCACCTATCAGCATCAGGTCTCGCTCAATCTCCTCGTACAGGGTGTCCAGCTGCTCCTCGCGCTGCACCATCGAGGTGGATGCCTCGTGGTGGCGCAGCTTCCAATCCTCGTAGTAGGCCTCGTCCAGCTCCTTGTACGCCAGCACCAGCGTGCGGAGACCCTCGCCGGCGAATTTCTACCGGTGGTCGCGGCGACATTCAGACCCTACTCCACTGGTCCAGCACTGCCTTGACATCGAATCGCATGATGCTGTAAATGCATCTTTCACTAGCTGGGTACAGGCAACAGCTTCGCAAGGGCCTCATTTGAATGCTGTAGCAGGCTGACATCGTCTGAGTTACTGCGGCCAAAGACCTTACGACTCAAAATACCGCGAAAGTGCATGGCTCATCAACAGGCCGACCAACAATCCGACAGACAGACAGTCGGCAAAAACAGCCGCCTTCCCCTGAGATAGGAAGCGCAAATCACGCCAGAATCGCCAGAAGCCGGAATCGAAGTCGCGTCTGCCTCATGGAAGCCCGAGCCGCTGCCGACCGAGCTGTTCCGCCGGCCGGCCATCAGCCTGACGGCCAGAGGGGGCCACCGGCGGCCACTCCGCCACCCACCTGCAGGTGCTCCTCAGTGCGGCTCTTGAGCTCGGGCTCAGTCGGGCCCATGCGCTCGAACAGCACGTTGTCGGCGCCCTTGCAGTACAGCCGGATCCTGCCGGCGCGCCTCAGGATGACCGACATGCGCTTGCGGACGTTGTTGAAGTCCAGGATGCAGAGCACCTCATGCTCCTCGTCGCCGCCCGGGCCGCGGATCGTGATGGAGTTGGGCGTGCGGGCGAGGAAGATGAAGCCGAAGTTGCGCGCCGCTGACACCAGGGCGTCCTCGTCCGGTGACTGCGCCTGGTACTTTAGCTTGCCTGGGGAAGGGGCGGAGACGGCGCGCCAGCGGTCAGACTCCGGCAGCAGTGGCGATGGTGGCTGCCTACGCCGTCGCCCGATATAGAGCTAAAGCGGTACCGGCACACAGATGCCAATTAGGCGCTACCACCTGACGGCACGCTCCCCCTGTGCTAGCACAAACAGCGGAAACGGCCGGCATCCGGCCGCTCGCGGTTCACAGAATGCCGAGAGGCCGGAAACGAGGGCAAGGTTTGACGGCGAGCGCTGGAGGGAGAGCGGACACTGCGGACGGAGCGGAGCCGAGCGGCAGCCGAACCCTTGAGCGCCGCCGCCGCCGCCGACACTCACCGTTCTTCTCCTCGGGCATGACGGTGTGGCAGAGCGCCAGCAGTCGGAAGAACATGTGCGCGTCCTCGTCCCCACTGCGCACGGCGTCCAGCAGAGTCTGGTCGTAGAACCGGAACGACTCCTCGGCCATGGCGTTGGCCGAGAAGTCCACCGGCTTCGTGTACTGGCGGCGAGAGGACACCAGTCACCGGCGAATCTGTCAGCGACCCCGCTCGCCCGCCCGCGGGGACACGCCCAGGAAATTTGTCTGGTGGGAGGAGGCAGGCTCGAGATCACCATGTAAGCCGACTGTCGCCATCCGGTTAGGATCTCCCCCCCCCCCCCACCCCATGGGAAGTTTTGGGCTTTTTTACCCCCGACTGGGGGGAAGGAACCAGGAGCCGAGCTTGGGAGGTTTTGCCGCGCAGTTACATGTTAGACGGGTGTCTTGCTGTCGCCGTCTGTTAATCCCGTTATGCATGCGTCGTCCGGCTTTCAAAATGACGACAGAACGGATAGCTCTCGTTAGCTACCCATCCACCGACCGGCTTGCTCAGCCATCGGGTAGCGCCGATTTGAATGGGCTGGAATACCAGCATTGGGACTCATCTACCAGCTTTAAAATTTGTTCGTCCCATTTGATGAACGGTGCAGAGTCCTCAAAATCATTTGTCGCAGGCACAGACATCAGCGTCGAAGCCACGGCTGCTTTTCACCGGCGCTAACGTCACCCGGAACAGGACGGAGCACGGCCGTCTCGGGCCTCCAATAGGCCAAGTGGTGATGCACATGGCGGTCAGCGTCGCTCCTGCCACTGGCTTGTTATTCGGCCGGCGGGGAGCAGGCCCTGGTGCGGCCTCATGTCTTGCCTGGAGGTGTGCGGGTAGCGTATCCGCGTGGCTGCCTGGGCCGGTGTCTGCTGGCGCCCCTAGCAACGACCTGAAGCCCTACCAGGATCTGCTGCACTTCCGGACGGTCGGAGCATTGGGCGTGTGGCATCGCCACTTCGTCTACTGGAGGTCCGAGATGATCGCGTTTCGTCACAGCTGGCTCTGGTATATGAGCCCTCCTAGCGGGTATTACAGCTGCGGTCCGAGATGATCGTGTTTCGTCAGAGTTCGATCTGGTAGATGAGCCCTCCTTGCCGGTATTCCAGCTGAGGTCAGAAATGATCGTGTTTCGTCACAGTTGGCTCTGGTACAGGAGCCCTCTTAGCGGGTATTCCAGCTGAGGTCCGAGATGATCGTGTTTCGTCAGTTGGATCTGGTAGATGGGCCCTCCTAGCGGGTATTCCAGCTTAGTCAGATCGGAGCCAGCCGGGGCCTAGATGAGTCAATCGATGAATGCCAAACCAGCAGCGTCCATCCGTTTGATCATGATTTTGAGAGGTTTGCAAAAGAGACACGTGATTTCGCAGGGAGGGACGTGCCAATGATTGATATTTTTGCGGGCATTGTAGCCATTAGCAAGCATTAGAAGGTGGAAGTCACCGGCCGATCAGCCTCAGGGTAAGGAACGTGCAATGAGTACGCGTCGCTGGTGCGTACCTTATCCTGAACGTGTACTGGGTACGTGTCGCTGTTTAATGACGTAACATGTGGGACGTCTTTATAACGACTCTTTTACGGAATGATGATGTAACGCGAATGTCTGCTTGATAGATGCATTTTTTCATTGGACATGGCTTGACATCCTGTTTTCTTTTGGTGGAGATTGAGCAGAGAACAGAAAGGTCGAAGTGAGGTGAGATGGGGCTCAAGCTAGGTCAAACCAGGGTGCATGACATTTGTAAACACACCATCCAGCCCCTTTTGTCGCAATGATTTGTTTGATATCCATCTCGACGCAGTTCAACATCTTTCCACTTTAGCACTGCCGACCCCTACCCGCCGTCCGAACCTTGCTTCCCTTGAGTGAAGTGTCACATAAGCCAGGTGTTATGGTCAGACATCTGGAATCAGTACAGTACGAGGGCTAAGAGGGCTTGCGGCTTTGTGTCAAGCGTTCAAGTCGATGAAATCCTCATTTTTACCATGGCTGGCTGACCCCTCAGAGGGAAAAATGGGTGTAGAAGTCCGAAATTTAAGCTCTTTGCGCACCCCTAAACATGCATGACTTTTGAAGAAAGAAATAAAACTATTCAGTTCACTTTGACCTTGAGGCCATAGCCACTAGCCCTGAGAAGCCACACTTTTCCAAAAGTGCTATTCTGGGACAACCGGCTGACCGCTGCCAAGCAACTGGCGCAATCCCAGCCGCAATGCTGTTAACAATGTGCCATGGGCATGATGAAGAAAATAAGTACTTCTTGAAATACGAATGCGATCACCATCCACACTTATCGATATGTAGACGGTTTCACAAAGCCGACAGGTTGGCCCGCTGCGCGCCGCCTGTACCGCGCCCTAGGCTGTCACCGAGCTACCAGCACGTTTGGTCGCTGAAGCCGCCAGCGCGCCGACGAGCCCATGACGAGAGCCGGTTTACGGCGCCGTAAAGCGGTGACGATCGGGGCCGGTGCGGTCGACCGCTGATGATCCAGAGCGCCCGCCATCGAGCCGAGCCACGCCTGCAGCCGCTGAGACCGGGCGGCGCCCGGACGGCGCCGGTCGGCCGACGGGCTCGGCTCGGCTCGGCTCGGCTCGGCTCGGCTCGGCTCGGCTCGGCTCCTCAGTCAGCCGCGGTAACTCACGTCCGCGGGCTGAGAGCCGTCTAGCGCCAACATTATATAGGCCGATGGAGACGTCAGTGTCGGACTGGAACGCCTCCCCTCACTTCAGTTCCGAAGCTGATTTGAGGCTTCTTACGAGCGCTGCGTCGGTCCGGGCGTTTGAGGCACATTGACGCTTAGGAGTATGTTGACACTAAAAAGCACTACACTACACTCTGGCGGCGACGCACTGCTGGTGTCAGCAACTCATTTAAAGGGAGTGTGGGCACTGTATGGGCAAATGTTGCACGCTCGGGATGATATAAGAGAGCTGAGACCTTTGCCTCAAGTGTCCACATCAATGTCAACGTCCGTTTTTATAGCGCCTTGCCCACCCTGGGCGAAATGGCTTTACATTACCGAACTGGTTTTACTTCGTTTACCTTCGCAGATTCTCTAAGTATGTATGAATTTTGACAAAAATAATACTACTGCACTCGCCTTTGACCGCGACTAGGAATTTGGGCAGCAAACAGTGTGGTACCATTAGCTGTATCCCCAAAAATCTATTTCCGCCTCCATTAGTGCCATCAGCCATTAGTGCCGCAACCATTAGCCGCGAGGTTAATGCAAAGTTCCATAGCGCACGAACACGGGACGCCCCAAGAGGTCCGATACGATACCTGACCTTCAGAATGAATGAATGGTAGAGGAGACTGTCCACCATTGCAGGTGGTGCGCACAACAGAACACCCCCAGGCGTGAAATAAGCTCACCAGCTTAGGTCGATCTGAGCATATTCCAGTCGATATGCTCCGACGGTACGTAGTGTGGGCACGCGCGTTGGTGTGCGCCCCAATCGGTCGCTAGACTGACGTTGAAACTCATCACATTTAGAGCGTCGGTAAAATCGGCAAATATTTCGTAGGTAATTTCAGTTACCTGTGCAGGTTGCCATAGTACCAACGTGATCTTGGGAACCGCGCTTTCAAACCAGCAAAACATCTTTTCACGAAAATAAACTTCGCGCCACAATTAATTAGTACTTCAAACGCATAACATAGCCCTTGCTACCAGTGACGTTGCTACAGCCATGAAACAGCTAGCAACATTTACGGCGACCGGAAACTTCTAGGCGCACCATTTTGGATTCCATCGCAAACTACGCTGACCGGGGGGGGGGGGGGAAGTAGTCTCAGCCTCAAGCTGGAATTATTCCTCCCTACGACAATCCAAGGATAAACCTCTCTAACAGTACTCCCACATGAGCTAACTAGCTCCAAAATTTGCGACCCAGCACTCCATCTTAACAGAATGCATCCCTGACTGTTACACGTGGGCCACGCGTGACCCTGTTCCGCGGCCATCCATGATCATGGCTAAACTCGGCAGGATTGGCCTCACAAGTTTGCCCGTAACATTGAGACTCGCCTCGAACATGACATCTGGGGTTTCACATGTTGCAGTCCCCAAAAATGCTGCCCAGAAGCATCCGGCTCAACACAGCTGAGCGACAGCTTCGGCTCCCGAGTCGTGCATTCCTTTTTTGGCGAATGTACATCACTGCTATTTTCAGTGCTTAACATTCTCTACGCGACACCATATGAGGTGTCCGTGCTACTCAGAAATCTGCTTTCCTACAATTAAAAAGAGCGAAGCATCTATCTCGCACTCGCTCTCGCTCTCGCTCTTCAATACACTTTGTTTACAGCGTATATATATATATATATATATATATATATATAAAGTGCATGAAATAACGTAGCATGGCACCACATCATTGGATGTAGAACAGGTGAAAAGGATTCTCATTGTTAAGCTCACTGTGATCTTAAACATTGCATGGGTAAGTAATAATTTGCTACCTAAAGTTACAAATAAAATAACATAATCGGTACCATACCTTGCAACTCGAATGTCCGCATTTTCTGAGAAGGGACCAGAGCTTTGGGATGCTGAGAGCCACCCAGACCCTCTGGCCAAATCCTTGGGTGGGCCACTGACCGTGTGAATCCAAACGCGATGAAACGAGTCAACAAGAAACTGTACGGTGTCCCAGCGTAACAAACAACTGGAAGAACATATAGTAGTCTTATCGGTATCTACTCCGCACCCGAAATCAGGACAAAGCATCCAAACTCCAGTTCATTACGGTCGATGGCGGCGTATCATTTAATGCTCCAGGGAGCCTCCGACGTTACGCCAATAGCCCATCGGCCGGACACGTTCTCCCGGCACGCGAACGCCAAATCGCCTGTCTGACCGTCTGTCTGTCCGCCTGTCCGCCTGTCGGTCGGACCCGCTAATGAGGTAAAGGTCTGACTGATTGAGTCGGTCACGGCCGCGCGGCACACTGGGTAGTCCGTCACAGCCGCGCGGCACACTGGATAGTCTCACAGCCGCGCGGCACACTGGATAGTCCGTCACAGCCGCGCGGCACACTGGATAGTCTCACAGCCGCGCGGCACACTGGATAGTCCGTCACAGCCGCGCGGCGCACCGGACAGTCCGTCACGGCCGCGTGGCACAATGGACAGTCCGTCACGGCCGCGTGGCACAATGGATAGTCCGTCACGGCCGCGTGGCACAATGGATAGTCCGTCACGGCCGCGTGGCACAATGGATAGTCCGTCACGGCCGCGTGGCACACTGGATAGTCCGTCACGGCCGCGTGGCACAATGGACAGTCCGTCACGGCCGCGTGGCACAATGGATAGTCCGTCACGGCCGCGTGGCACAATGAATAGTCCGTCGCGGCCGCGTGGCACAATGAATAGTCCGTCACGGCCGCGTGGCACAATGAATAGTCCGTCGCGGCCGCGTGGCACAATGAATAGTCCGTCACGGCCGCGTGGCACAATGGATGACGCACACTGGATGACGCCACCGGATGACGCTATCTGCCGTCTAATGGCGCCGTGGCGGGGCCAGCCGACGGCACCGGGGCTGCAGGCGTTACCTACGTTACGGCCCCTCAGGCGCGCTTGGAGGAAGCAGCTACCCCAGCTTGTCGTGGCAATACATGGAGCGCCGGAACGGCGGAAATGAATCACTCATTCACATGAAGTCTTGAGACACAGCTCGCACAAGGCTTTTCACGAGACTCCGAATGCAGCGTAAGCAGCCACGAAAGGAAGTTGTTAGAGCCGACTCAAGGCCTGAAGCCACGCCACACACCGCCGGCGGCAGTAGGCAAACGCCCCGCCCCAGGTGCCGTCCCCCGTCGCGGACCGGGCGACACCGGCGGGCCGATGGGATACCCCCACCTGGCGTGCCCACCAGGGCGTTACGCACGCCGGCCGGCGGTCCTGTCCGGCCGTCAGGCACGCCGCCCGACTCTCGGTCCTATGAGCACCGCGGGCCGACTGGAAGCCGCGGCCGCCGACGGCCCGCCGAGCTTCACACCATGCTAGCGGCGGCTCGCTGCCGCCCGGCAGCCTCCCTACACAGCTGGTGAGTGACACGCTACGTGCGACGTCCGGACCGTCGGTGGGGGCGGCGGCGGCGGAGGCTCGGGCCACCCGCCATCACAGCGCCGACACCCCGCCTATACCTCTGAAGGCCGCCAGAGCTTCGAGCTAGCGCAGTTGGTATGCAGGAGGCAGTCGTTTAGGTGATCTGTTCGCAGTGCTGCGTGTCTGTTTCGATGCGATCGTTTCCAAGCTACAACAACGCGTTGACTCGTCACTCGCTCTCGGGCGTTAATACCACAGTTGCATGAGTTTGCCAAAGCTTTGCGACCAAAACCTGCAGGTAACCGATTTGCCTTGTTGCATCTTCCCACAAACACTCGCGTTCATGCGTGCCATGCGCTACACCCTTCCTTCACATCACTTCTTTCCTCACTCCAAATGTTTGCTTTTGCACCACTCTTCGTGCATAGTTATGATCTTAACTACGACATCATCACGTCACAGTGCTGAGGCTTTGTCGACCTCTCGGTCGTAAGTACCTTGAAACTACCCCCGTTCTCATCAAAAGGGAGTTGCGAGTTTTTTACACAGGCAGTGAATTGCTTCTCATTCGATTCAGCGTTGTGGATGTCAGTAGCCCACAGTCCGTGCCCCCGCCGTGACGTCCTGCCTCCTGTGGTCGAGAAAGCACCAGCCGTAGCGCCACTCTGCCCACACGTCGACCAGACGGCTCCCGTCGTTCGTTCACGTCATCCCCGCGGGAACACAGATGCTGCGCGAGTGCCGGTGGAATATGTGGGGACGGCGGAGCGGAACTACCTGGATAAATTATACGACGCTTAGATGAGTGTCAGGGGAAATGAACATGGCCGAAGTCGTGGATACATCCCGCACTTGGGCAAAATGTCAAACCAAGCCAAAACGGCGAAGAGCACGAAATCACCTTGAAACCCCAGTCTGCAAGCATGACAGCACTTTTCACGCAGCCAAGCAGACTTACCTCGTTGGGTTCCGTGACTTCACCGATAATCGGGTCGATGTAGTCGCCATAGCATTTGCCCGCTATCGAACATTTGTTGAATAGCATGATGTTCTGAAAGGGACGGCAAAAAAGGTCCTGAATGCGCAGCAGGTACCTGGTGGCATTCGGCGGCCGCCGGGGCAGCACAAAGCCGAAACATACACGAAAAGGACACTGCATATTGGCTGTATTGAATAATTATTCATGTTTTACGGCATACCGGCAGCTACTGCAATTCTTTACCCATGGACAAGGGACATGGGAGACCGAACACGGAGTACCTATACCGTTGAGTCCCTGCCAAACTCCAGCCTTTACGTACCTAACTGGTCCAGGCAAGCTTGTCGCCTGATTTACCCTTCATCCCAAGGGGCACGAGGGTCATTTGATGGTCATGATAAAAGGACCATCATGTCTGACAAACGTAGCGGGACCTTCCCACCTGAGACTAGGACGTCAGCTACCCCGCCGGTCCGGCCCGATTTGTCGGCTCCCCCCCCCCCCCTCCCCTCCCTCCCTCAGCGCCTTCCTTAACAAACGCGATACACTCGTCCCACCTGAGTGTCCCACCTGAGAGACTCGGACCTCAACCACCTCCGCAGAGCGGGCCCACACATATCCACAACCACATGTGACACCGGCACCCACCTGGGTGAGCGTGCCAGTCTTGTCGGAGAAAATGTACTGGACCTGACCCAGCTCTTCGTTCAGCGTGGTGGTGCGCGCCTTGGCGGGCGTATCCGTCTTCTCGTAGTACATCTGCAGGTCCCAGTTGATGAGGAAGCTCTGCATCAGGCGGATCACCTCCACACTGGCGGCGGTGGCAGCTGGTCAGTCCAACGCGCTCCAGCAAACAATGTGACCGCGCCGTGCACACGCCGAGGAAAACTTCCAAAAGCATCAGCATGGCTGTTCTCTGTTCCAAGAAAGAAATAAGAAATGTGCGTGTGTAGGGATCGTGCCAGAGCTTGTTCATACCCATAGAAAAACCTCATCGATACGCGCACGTCAATACTATCTGGACACAGAAAGCACACATCCCCTAAGACACAGACACGGGCCGTAATGATCCCGAGCAATAACGCCATGCTTAGTGTCAGTTCGTTAGCTCTCAGAGCTGGAATCCTAGCTAGAGCTGTTGGCGTCGTAAGCCGCCAGCTGCCCGGTTCTGGGCTGGGCTGGGCTGGGCTGGGCTGGGCTGGGCTGGTCTGGGCTCCGAGATAATCTTGCAACACCCCCTCCCTCCACCCCCTCTCATTAGGGTCACGCCGACAGAGCCGGCGCCGTCTGCATAATGGATCGGCCCGGCCGCCAACGTCCGATTAGCGCCGCTCAAACACGGCCGTGTTTGCAGGGCCACGGCACGGCCGCCAGCGCGGCTGGTGAGGTCCGGATGCACCAGACGGCAGCGACGGGGGAGAGGCCAGGCCCGAGGCACACGCCGTCCGGCCTCAGCCGGGAGGCGGCGCCGCATGCGGAGCGCGTCTGCCCCGGCACCGCCCAGCCGCGCCGCGCGACGCCGCTCGCGGAGTGCGGCTGCCCCGGCACCGCCCAGCCGTGCCGCGCGACGCCGCTCGCGGAGTGCGGCTGCCCCGGCACCGCCCAGCCGTGCCGCGCGACGCCGCTCACCTCCGCTCCGCCTCAGCTGACTTACCTGACATACAGAGATATAGGCACGACGGTGTTGAGGGCGATAGCGTAGGAGAAGAAGACGAGCAGCGCAATGACGGTGGCGCCACCTGCCGGGTCGTCCGGCACCAGCGCATCCCACGGCAAATACACACGAAAATGCTGACCTGCCGACGTGCACACCGAGCTCGGTCACGCCGAACGGAGGCGGTGGGCGCCGGGGGCTCACACCAAGGCGCTGTACGGGATGTTGATACCGGTCTCGGCACATCACGGTCTGGTTTTACCTGCGTTAATTGTGACATGGGTCAAGCTACACAAAAAGCCCTTCGCACAGAGCGCTCTGTAAACATCCAGGAGGACGCTGAGTGCGGCGTGCAACGACCGAGCGGTAACAAAATATGTCTTATGATAATGTATATGATGTCTAAGCGAAAAGAGTCAGACACCTGTCGCTCCATCAGCTTAGCCCTTTATCACAGCACAACACGTCGCTTAAAATGACTTCAGGATGAAGTACGGAAGTTGTACGGGACGCTGTTTAGGACGTTGAACGTAGTATTGCTCAGGCATGTCACGTTCGGAGTCTATCAGGGGGAATGACGTTCTTAACGAGCCCCTGCACGGTCGAAGGCGGCGAAATGACGCCGGTTGGCGCTGAAATGATAGCGCTGCTAAGCGGTCTGCTGGAGAAAAATATGCTTACCTGTAACAGTTTCCCAAATTCCGCAGGCAATAGTACAAAACAGGCACATCAGTAGTAGGAAAAACACGATCTGAAAAGAAAAAAGACATTGTTTCAGAGTGCGAACGGTGGGGCCAGCAGTCGGCCCAGACCAAAACGGGTCGGGCCTGCTGACGGGGCGCCGCCGAGGCCAGCCGCAGCAGGCCCCGCGCCGGCGCGGCGGGTCATCATTGAGGGGGTCTGGCCGGTCCAACCCCATGGGCGCCGCCGAGGCCAGCCGCAGCAGGCCTCGCGCCGGCGCGGCGGGTCATCATTGAGGGGGTCTGGCCGGTCCAACCCCATGGGCGCCGCCGAGGCCAGCCGCAGCAGGCCTCGCGCCGGCGTGGCGGGTCATCATTGAGGGGGTCTGGCCGGTCCAACCCCATGGGCGCCGCCGAGGCCAGCCGCAGCAGGCCTCGCGCCGGCGTGGCGGGTCATCATTGAGGGGGTCTGGCCGGTCCAACCCCGTGGGCGCCGCCGAGGCCAGCCGCAGCAGGCCTCGCGCCGGCGTGGCGGGTCATCATTGAGGGGGTCTGGCCGGTCCAACCCCATGGGCGCCGCCGAGGCCAGCCGCAGCAGGCCTCGCGCCGGCGTGGCGGGTCATCATTGAGGGGGTCTGGCCGGTCCAACCCCATGGGCGCCGCCGAGGCCAGCCGCAGCGGGCCTCGCCCCGGCGCGACAGGTATCACTGAAGGGGTCTGGCCGGTCCGAACCCACGGCAAGTCTTGCCACATTGCGAGCTGCTGCCGTGCCTATACAGTGCGAGTGTCACGGCAGGGACGCAGCGCCACGCCCACTCACCCCCAGGATGATATAGTTCAGCAGGCGGTCGATGCTGGTGCGTTTGAACTTGGTCTTGCCCGAGTTCTGCATGAGCTTCGTCTCCCGGCCGGCGAACACCACCACGCCGTAGCACCACTGGGTGTTGCGCAGTACGCAGCCCCGCAGCAGAATCTTGTCATTATCCAGCGCGTACCTGCGGCGCCGAGAGCGCGGTCACTGGGCAGCCGGCGACGGTGGAGGCACAGGCGGAGGGCAAGCCCACCAGCGTGCGAGGCTGACCGGCCAAAACGTACGCCAGACGGATCTGACAGCTTACTGAGGCCATGGTACGTAGGTAGGCACGGGCCATCTCCGACCCCAAAGGGCATGAGGCAAGCTTGCTGGCTAACACCAAACCAAAGGCAGGAAACACCAAACCAAAGACGGGGAACACCAAACGAAAGACAGGGAACACCAAACCAAGGACAGGGAACATCAAACCAAAGACAGGGAACACCAAACCAAGGACAGGGAACACCAAACCAAGGACTGGGAACACCAAACCAAAGACAGGGAACGCCAAACCAAAGACAGGGAACACCAAACCAAAGACAGGGACGCCCTCAACGGTCCAAGGAGTCTCACACTCCCTCACCGCCCCGTGGGACGTTCTCAACAGAGCAATCGATAGAACCGCGCAGCGATTTGAAATGATCGCGTCAGCTAGAATATCGAAAACAGGAAAACACTTATCCATCGAGATGACATTTCCGAGCCAAACTGTCGATAAAAAGCACATCCAAAGCCATAAACACTCCCAAGTGGCAGCAGTTTTCAGATGGACGGCGGCGGCGCCCACACGGTGAAGCTGTCCGATCGAAGAGATGTAGGCAATCGAGCTAGACAGGGCGCGACCGACCCGTTCGCCAGGAAACTGGTGCACTAAGGGCACGGAGGCAGGGGGAACAGATTCACACGCCACAGGACACGGAGGCAGAGGAACAGTCACATGCGACAGAACGCCAGGAATATTTGATTTCCAGGAAACGACGCGCACCAGTGCAGTTGGCTGCTACGCACCACTCGTGCACAACAAAGCCATTTGCATCGCAGGCACCAGGCTTTGCACCGAAGCAAACACGACAGTTAATCATAGCACGGCGTGGCCAGATGACACGCTAGGTCTGACAGCGGCGTTAGATGTGCGCATTGTGCGGGGCTTCACTTACCTATTCCAAAAAGGCAGAGGTAGCAATGGAAGCTTATGCAAAGAACCGGTGACCAGAGGCCAAAATCGTAAACGGGAAAAACCGGGGCGGCGGGCATACTTTTCATATGAATACGAACGAACTGCGCTTGTATGATAAGGTCTCAGATAATCATTTCCAGGATGTGCAGGGGAACCCACCAGACCCAACCAATTGTAAGCATGAAAAGCTTTACCACAATGGCACTGGGTAGTTGCTGCGACATGCTACTTAGTGAGGAAAGGTATTTCTTTAGAAATTGATCGCTGAAATTACTCCATTTCGTCACACATTACTTGACCATTGCATTGTGTCATCAAGACCTCAAAACTAGGACGCAGATGCAATTCTCCTCGTGATGTAACAAAGCACCAGTGAATCAAATTCAGCTCCGCCTCGGTCACTGCTTCCGAGAAGGAATATCAGCACGTCTCCCGTTGCAGTGAGGCGCTCGTCACCTCTGCTCTCTGTCGGCTGGTCGGGTGCGTGTCTCCCGTGACTTCGACTCCCGGCCGTGACCGTCCCCTTCCCAGTCCGAGCCCCGGCCGTGACCGTCCCCTTCTCAGTCCGAGCCCCGGCCGTGACCGTCCCCTTCCCAGTCCGAGCCCCGGCCGTGACCGTCCCCTTCCCAGTCCGAGCCCCGGCCGTGACCGTCCCCTTTCCAGTCCGAGCCCCGGCCGTGACCGTCCCCTTCCCAGTCCGAGCCCCGGCCGCGACCGTCCCCTTTCCAGTCCGACCCCCGGCCGTGACCGTCCCCTTCCCAGTCCGAGCCCCGGCCGTGACCGTCCTCTTCCCAGCCCGACCCCCGGCAGTGACCGTCCCCTTCCCAGTCCGACTGCCGGCCAGGCATGCCGTGGAGACGGGCCAGGCCAATGGCCGGCGGCCGGCGGCCCGGCCGCGTTCGGCCGGTCACCAGGCAATGTTCGTCGACAGTAACAACGCGCGTCCACAGGTGGCACGCATCGATCGGCGGCGCCGTCGTCCGGGCCGACGGCGAGGCATCGACGGCGCCGGCCACGCCGACACCGCCGAGCCGTCGGCGCGGCCGGACGCAGCAGACCCGGCCGCGCCGACGGTCCGGTGCGCACCACGGCGGCGGCGGCGGCGGCGGCGGCGGCGGCGGCGGCGGCGGCCGTGCCCGTCTCCGGCAGACACCGGACCGGCCTGGCCAGCTGCTCAGCTGCAGCCACAGGTCTGATGGAACCTGCTTTAGTCATATACAGTGACGGTTATGACCGCCAGCCATGCCGCGGTCCCACTGAGCCCTCCTTCAGCAATGAAAACACTTTCAGCTGGAACGACCGGCCCGGTCGCAACGCCAGCTAACAGCCAGTGTCTTTGCCACCACTGGTTGGAGCTGCACACAACTTTCAGCAACAACAGACGCAATTATTTGCAAGTTGGCCGCATAAAATATAAGGCCATTGCATGCACGCTGTTTGATCAGAGGCCAGTTCCCTCTACACCTACTAAGTAAACAAGCAATGCCTTGCCAAGCAACACAAGCGGTGCATGTTCGATCCATTGCCTGCGAAAGCACCCGCAGAAATCCGTTCAAGACCAGGCCAGGATCTCCGTCAGCGTCCGACGCAGCAGCACCAAGCCAACACCGTTTGGAGGAGAAGAGAAAGGGGCGTTGCACCAGCCAAAACGTGGGTCGTCTCGTGAAGTCGGCCACACGCATTCAGGCACAAAACTTGTATCTCCGCGTCTGGACTACTTTCAGGGTTGTCGTGAGATCTCACCAACCAGAGCAGATGGGGGCGCGAAACCAGGCGCGTGGTGTTTGCGCAAGTATCGACTAGAAATTGCTAGACGACTTAAACACCGCAAAACTCAAACGCATGCCAGTAATCGACTGTAAGACGGCCAATATCATCTTTGTAAAAGCGATCTCACGTACCGTACGCTGTGGCCTAAACAGAGCAAGCTTGGGCCAAGAAACCGCACGGGCGAATGGTTCAGTTTGCTGCGGCCCACACTTACTACGTTTTCACAATACTTTGTGATGGTAAGCACAGAGTCGGCGCCACGAGTTTTGAGTTGGGAGAAGGGGAGAGGTACGATTTTCAAAGGGTCGCTTGGACAAAATGGGGCCTCTTGGGCAGCGTCCTATTCAAGGGGAGGGGAACGCGGCGCATATGCACCGTTGTCAAACTGACAGATGTATCCAAGTAAATAGATGTAGAAAATTACAATCCATAATGGTGGTGTCATCCAATTATCCAGTGAAGGTTCACGGTTACCTAAACCGGGCCTCCTGACACATAAAGTCCTCCTAATCCATAGCAGAACGCTTCCGATTCAAGAATGGGGCCTCGAAATCTACCCAAGGGCCTCGTCCTCCAAATACGCAGCACCCTGGTTAGGAACCGCGGCCATATGATGCATGAAAGGGGCCTCCTATTCCAGAGATGGTTCTGCTGAATATAGACGGCGCCCTTTAATCTAGAACAGGGCCCCCCACGTAGTAACGGGGGCCTCCCGATCCAGCAAAAGGGCCTCCTCAGCACAATGTGGGACCTCCTGATCTAGAACATCGGCCTCTTCATTTGTAAGGTGGCCTTCTGCTCCATAAAATGAGTCTGTTGAAGTAGAAAAGGGTATGTGATCACGAGTTATTACTCCTTAGCTCAGCTGTGGGGTCCTCCTTAACCTGAATTTGGGTAGCTTACGGATAGCTACAACATCTCTAGCTTGGGAAGAAGGGGCCTGCCATACATTCTGGGGAACAAAAACATGCTCTCGCCCGTCTGCCCCTTCCCCCTCCCCTCCCCTCTCCTCTCTTCCTTGCCGCGCCGCCCCAGGTTACAACGGCAGCCTTTTCAAATGAGCCTGTCAGGCCTGGCCAAACTCACGTCAGTACGAAGGCCACGCCGCCGGCTTCTCTGGACAGCCATGTCCACAGCTAGTCAATTTTCAACCGACATCCTGTGTGCGTCGCCACAAAAACGCTCCTTCAGTGAACATCCGCTCACTAAACGAGGGACAGACTATATTGATCAGACCACTCGATTGGATTCCGAGAGTGGTCTGGCTGCCTTAGTTTAAGCTTGGGTATCATGTACACAGCAATCACTGATAAAGCCCACGTCCGGTATACTCTTGCTGGTCCCACGCCGCCAACGGAATCTCGCTGGTAGACACTGGCTCAAGCCACAGGGGGCATATCTAGCATAAACGCCTGTCAGCTGTAGCTGGTTGTCGACAGGGCACCGGAGGGCACGTAAGTAAACGGGGCGCCACGTCTGACCGCATGCCGACCCCTGCTCCATCAATCAAAGCCATCGCCACCCAGATGGCAACAGTGGTAGTGCGGTGTCACCGCGAGAGGCACCACACTGTGACAGCGCTGAAGATGTCGAGGCTGACACCGCGGCGGCGGCTCAACAGATCGCCGACCCGCTGGTCGATACCAATCGAAGCGCCAAGCGATTCGCACCAAAGCCACACAGAAAACTTCGCGTAGCTATACGCAGTTGAACAGCGTATCTCCTTACATGAAAACAGATGTGCGTTTGCAAGGTCGCTGACCTATGGCAAGCCAAAGTAGGCCGTGGCTGCCAGCGAAGACCATTTATAGGTAATCGTTCAACATGATGCGACATGCTGGACAAATTCGTACATCTTTGACAGTTTCGTAGGCAATCAGCCAAATGAATTTCAGATTACCACAAATTCCATTGACCTAGGGTCAGGTATGTAGGTCGGACCAAGGGTCAAAACTAGCTTGCTTTTTACTCGAGAGCTTGCTTTACGGGGTAGTTTCTGCTGCTCGTTTCAAATGCATTGATGACATGGGCAGCAACAGACTTTTATGGACTTTTATGGACAACAGACTTTCGATGGACTTTTTAATGTTCAGAGTAGGCCCATTTATCTAAAATTACCCAGGTAAACATTTTGTGTTTGATAAACATACCACTAGCGTAACCACTGACGCTCATTGAATGACAAAATAAGGGCA